AGTAGTCAAGGGGAAACATGACGGGGGCTGGTGGGCAGGGAGAGCCCCAAGGAGCCAGCCAGGATGCCTGGGCAGGACTGGGCTGGGCTCAGGGTAAGCCAAGGGCAGCTGACAGCAAGGAAACTGAGGCACTCAAACAGAGGAGCTGGCCTGGGATGAGGTGAAAGAGCTGTAGAACATACTTTATATAAAAGGAATATATATTCAGCAATTCTGTAGGATACATGTATTCCACACCTCCTGGCACCCCCTTTAGGCCAAACTTCCTCAGCTTTCCCATCCCTCTGGACCCATAAGTTTGGGCCCCAACTCAAGTTGTGTGATGACCGAAATTTGGCAAGTTTCTGGTGAATCATTTGACCTTATTCCTCTTCCCCCACCAGGCCCGGTGAAAAGGACAGGGGGAGTGGGCATCTTTGGGGGAAGAATGAGGGCAGTCCTTGTTATAGAGCTTGGGAAGAAGTTCAGGAGCTTTGTGGGGGGCAGTGCTTATGGTGAGAGGGGTCCATGAACGATTTCTTTCCCTTCTCATTACTGAGGGAGGGGGAGGAGTAGAGAAGGGACCAGAAACAGAAAAGGGACCTGCTGTGCGTGACTTAGGAGGGGGGAGCTCTGGGGGCCCTGATAGTGACAGGCGAGATATAAATAGCTTGGGCCCTGCGGCTCATGTTCTCTCGGCTGCCTGTGATGAGGTGCTTAGGAATTCCACCCTCCTGCTGGCACCCCCTTCCCTATCTCCAGAACTCTCGTTCCCCCATGCCACCTTTATACCATGGCCAAAACCAACCATCAGGCATCAGTGCCGTCTGTCTACTTGAGAGGCTGAGCTCTCCTGTGCAGAGATGCCCACCTCCTGGGGACACATGACATGTAGCTGGGTTTCATAAGGGAAGTGTGTGTGTGTGTGTGTGTATACAAAAAGGCAGACTTCTGACACCCAACCTGAGGTGCCAGCTCAGGGTTCAGTGATGAAGAAACTGAGGTATAGATCCAAGAAAGGATGGATTCCTCTCCCTGAGCCTCTGGGGAGAAGAGAAAGGGGTAAAGCAGGTTTGCCTGGAGCTGACAGCCCTTCACAAACCCTAATGGCTCACACTCGTGTTTTGTGGGCATTACCTTAGGTCCCCCAGTAACTTGAGGGCCTCGCTTAAGGTGGGGGGAGTTCAGAGGGAAGCCAGCAAGTGGACAAAGAACTCCCTTCTCCCCCTTCTCATTTCTTCTCTCCGAGAGGTGTGTGTGTAGCCCCAGGGGAGTGAGTGAATGGGCGGCAGAGGGTGCCCAGTGCCAAGGATGGTTCCTGGCACCCTTCTCACCCTGCCTGCCTCAGAAACCAGAGCCCGTTACTCTCCAGGATAAATCAGGGCCTGACTCAGGCCCCAGCCAGCCCGTCACAGTCAGCCTGCCCAGGCACAGGCTGGTGACTCAGCCCTCAATATAGCCCATGAGCCCAGGCCCCAGGCCTCGCCATGAGCGCTGGAACAGACCGTGCCCAATGCTGGTCCAGGGACCTGCCAAGTGAGGGCCCCTCCCTGAGGAGGGCTGATGTGCTCCTCTCAGAGCCCGGCAGGGGCTTACAGGGGGTTTCATCAGCTGAGTTTTTGCGGCACTGCTGGCGGTGGTGGCCACAGGCTGTATATAGCCCCCTGACTCACCACCCGCTGACCTGTCTCAGGAGTCCAGGTTGCCTGGCCTTTCCCCTGGCCCTGCCTCTCCCATCAAGGGGCACTGCTGGTCATCCAACATTGGCCATATTTAACTTGAGCGGAGCAGAATCTGAGTGAGCGTGTCCAATGGGCCATGTTTGAAAATCCTGCTTTTCTGGAACCAGGGACATTTCCATAGCCCCCTGTGATGGCACCAGGCTGGCCAGGCTCACAGCAGGCACTTTGTTTCAATCCGTGATACTGACTGTGGCCCTGGCCCAGGTGTGGCAGGGACAGTGTGGTAGGGTGGAAAGGTACATAGGCTGAATTCCAGCCTCTTCACCTCTGGTTCTGTAGCCTTGGTCAGGTAATGGAACTCTTTGGGGCCTGAGTTTTTTTGTCTGCAAAATGGAGTTAATAGTACTCTCATAGGGATTTTTTTATGCATGAAGATGAAAGGAGATAACATGTAAAGTGATTAGCATGGTGCTGGGCAGCTAATAGGTGATCAGAAAAAGCCAGTTTGCTTCCTCTGCTGGTATCCTGGGGACCACATGGGTTCTGGTGAGCTAGGCCTTCCTCACAGCTGCCTCTGTCCCCTGTAGAATCCACTGCTGGCATCTCCCACTGCTCCCCTCTTCCCTTCCTTGCATCCTAACACTCCACCTGCCAGAATCAGAACCAGAGTACTTCTGATCTTTAGAGCTACCCACCATGCCCCCCAAGAGCAGCTGGTCCTTGACAGGGGTGGCAGGTGGCGTGCTCTACCGCGTAGCCTGGGAAGGGAAAGCAGAGGGGTCTGTGGTGCAGGGAGAGAGCAGAAAGGAAGCAGTTATGCAGAGGGCAGGAGAGGGGGGAGATGCAGGCCACTGGAGGTGTTCTGAGTCCCTGGTTCTATCTGTACCTGGGCCTGGGTGCATGCCTACCTGTGGCTTCTAAGAGACACCCCTGTGGACTCAAAGCTAACTCCAGGGACTGTTTCACATTCAACACAGGCACTCTGAACAGCGTATCTACAAGACCAGAAAGCACAGAGCCCAGATCCGTGAAGAGGATGGCCTTCCAAGATGAGCCGACACGGGCAAGTGACCTAAAGGGAAGAGCTCTGTATTCTAAACAAAACGGCTGAAGAAAAGGACCACTTCCCTGTCATTGCCAGCTCTGGGTTTGGGCCTGAGAAGGACCAGATGAAGTCCTGACTGGGGGCCGACTGCCTACCAGACCATGACCTCCACCTTGGCTTCAAATACGAAGTTAAAACAGTGATGCTCAGTGGTGGGTAATCTTCCAGACCTCTCCACCACACGTGTTCTCCAGCCAACTGGTGGCCGGAGTAAAGCTGGTAAAAAGCAGGGTCTCACTACACTCAACAGCAAGGGGACAGTGGTAGCAGGTGGATCGTGAAGGGATTTCAATTAGGTTACAACTGAGAATACACAATCTAATAGAGTGAAGGGCAGTGCTTCTCAAATTTTATCGGGCATACTCATCAACTGGGGATCTCGTTAAAATGTAGATTCTGTGTCAGTGGGCCTGAGCTGGGGCCCGAGATTCTGCCTTCCTAACAAGTTAACAATGCTCATGCTGCAGGCCCGTGGGCCACAACTTGAGCAGCAAGGAGCTAGGCCACCCTAAATGAGCCCTATCTTTAAAGAGGAGTCATTTAGAGGGAGCAAAGGGGACCCACGGCACTGCCCTCAATCTGCCTAGGTACAGCCCTGTGATAAGGGCAGGTCACGATTTCAGCCCTGGCCCCAGGTCTGCTAGGAGGACTCCCAGTCAGCCTTGTCACTCCTCTGGGCTGCACACAATTTAAAAACCTCCTAATTCTAAATGTCCTTGCTCCCACTAGGAAAACACTGTGGAAGAAATGAATTCATTTTAGCGCTAAGCAGTGCCCACCTCAGTACACACTCTATAGGTATGTGCTGCTTTGTATATTGGGGTGAATGAAACAAACTCCTCTGGTATCAGGTAGAAAGGAGGCAGAGAGAGGGTCCCAGGAAACCGGCAGTCACGGGGGCCGTTCTGCCCACTGTGGCTTACGAATACACATGGGGGCTTTCATATGGGAACGTCCATGATGAGAGCAACCAATCACAAAAGCTTCCGCAGGAATGAAGGTCAACAGGAACACTCATAAATTATCCTCATCATTCTGCTCATTCCCACTTAGATCCATTCTCGATCCTCTGCCCAGCTGGCTCTGAACTCCAGGAGGCTGACCCTGAAAGACTGTCACCTGGGCATCTCTGCTCTCTGGCTCCCAGTTGGGATCAGCCAATGAGACACACCAACAGGGAACTGGAGAGTGGGAAGAGAGGGTGGGGGGAGCACATCAACTTCCCACTTCCTCATGGCTCTGATAAGGGCCACACCCCCCCTGTGGCCACCATGTGTGTCTGGGGCCCCGTGCCAGGCCTCCAGCTCCTGCTTCCTCCCTTTTCCCCTTCAGGCCTGCGACGGTAGCCAGTTCCCCCTGTTGCTGGTGCCTGGGGACTTCACTATTCCTCAGTGGTTCTAACTGCCTTCTATACATAATCTGTTCATTAACAACTCATACATGAAAGCCTTTTTTTTTGGCTGAGCTGCGCAGCTTGTGGGACCTCAGCTCCCCAACCAGGGATTGAACCCGGGCCATGGCAGTGAAAGCCCGGAATGCCAACCACCTGGCCACCAGGGAACTCCCTTCAGTTTACTGCTGGGACCCTGAGTGATTATTAAGTCATCTCCGAGAGCAAATCCCTCGACAACTCATAAGGAAGGTCCACACGCAGATCTTCTCAGGGCACCCTTCCCACAGTAGACAGATGTGGGCACGAGACCCAAGGGCAGGTCATTTGCCCCCACCCCGTCACACAAGTACCCAGATCATTCCATTTCTCTGTGCCTAGATAAGTTCCTTGAGATTAGGGTTAGTAGGTACAGACCAATCCAGCTGCGATTCGGCTGGCAGCACAAGGAGCCAGCATCATTTCTTTTTTTTTCCCTCAGCCTCATTTCTGAGGTCATTTGTAGGGTGAGAAATAGTACGTAGGAGCCAGAGCCTTAAGTGAGCACCTGGTTAAAGGGGAACTGCTCTGTTCTGGTTGTGCTGTGAGGTAGTTAACAAATAAAAAGCCACAAAGTCTCATGTGATTCAGCTGATGTTTAATTACAAGGAACCCAGGTTCTTACACGAGGCAGGAGATGGGAGCCAGCAGCTCCCCACAACGAGCCTTTCCGGCCTGAGTGGCTGAGGCTAAGGAGATGGGGACACATGGAACACGCGGGTGGGGTGGGGGCTCTGGCACAGTGTGTCCTGCCCAAAGCTGAGGGTAGTGGCCACTGCGGGTCTGCCTCCTCGGCTGGCCCAGGCCTGCCATCACTCCACGAGGCAGGACTCTGTCTCCTGCGGTCGCATGTTGGGTAACACATACAGAGCCACAGCTGCAAGGGCCAAGAACACCATAGGCTTCCACATCCCAAACATGTTCTGTGGGGACCAAAGACAAATGGTGAGTGCCCAGCCTTCTGAACTCCTCCCTAAGCTAGAGATCCCCTGCCTACTGGTGCTGGAGAGATACCTCAGAAACATCATAATGGTCCAGTCTCTCTTATCTCCTGGGTAACCGCTGCAGACAAATGTGGGCTTAGTCCTGGCACCACTAGGTATCTGGAACAACACTACGTGGATGACCTGAGCTGGCTGCCTGTATTCATGCCCCGGGGGGTGAGAAGAACCAGCTCCTGCGTGTAGGAGCAAACTCAGAAGCAGATTTCAGAGAATCCAAACGGTTGCAGCAAAGGATCAGATGCCACGGCAAGGAAAAGAGGGTAAATTTGGGCCCCTGGGAAATGCAGCAGCATCATTAAATGCCTGACGGAGGAAAAGTGAACTCAGGAGGATGATAAGACTGGGGGGGGGGGAGCGAAGAAAGTGCACCTGAGTACAGCAAACATGAGGTTCTTAGGCAGCCCAGACCGTTTGTGGAGAATGATGTCCTTGAAGGAGACTGAAGGAAGTTGGTCACTGGCCCAGGGAGGCGAACACCAGGGTCATTAAAACACCTCCTTGGAGAAAACAGGAGAAGTAAAGAGCAGGCTGATGGCAGCCTGCTGTACAACCACTTGTACGTGACTGATAAGCTGGATGAGGGCCTGGAGAGGAACACTCCAGAGGCTCGCCCTCACCTGTAACTTGCGTGAAGATAAGAAGGTGGCTGGTCACCCCTGAGGATGAGGTGAAGCTGGTTGCAAAAGTGAGTACTTTGAAACCACAGGGTCAAGATTAAAAATAAACACAAAGCTTCATAGGTGAGAACAGTGGACAATGGACTAGATCTAATAGAGATGAATGGAACATTCTGCCTTGGATCCAAAAAATCAACTGCAGGCAGAGAAAGGGGAGAGAACGCTTAGCATATGTGCAAAAGGCTTTTATAAACAATACATGAAATAAGTTAGCAATGTGATATTAGTTATCAGAGAGCTAACGTGATCTGAGGCTGCACGAAGAAGCTGCTGTATGGTGTCTTCCTACTTACTTGGGAGCAACCAATGAAGAGAGACGATAAGGGGAAACAGGATTGGAATTTTATCTGATGCTAATATTAAGTCCTTAGAATCTGATTCACAAGTTACTGGCTGTATTACATAACCCCTCTATGCCTTAGTTTTATCACACGTAAAATGATAGCTACCTCAGTGGGTTATTGTGAGAATTGAATGAGTTAATACTTACCAGATGATTAAACAGTGCCTGGCATATAGCATGCATTATGTAAGAGTATGCTCTTTTTATTATTTATGTGGTGTTTTATCATTTATAAAGTACCTTCATATAAATGAACTCATCTGTTCCTCACATGAGGAAGCCAGAGGATTTATCATCCTTTCCTTACATTTGAAGAAACTGATGTTCAGGTTATGCATTTTGCCCACTGGGACTAAGCTCTAAGAAACAGAGACAGACTCACCCAAGATGTCTGCCCGCCTGTCAGCCACACTTTCTACCCTACTCTGCTGCCTCAGTTTCTGGATGGGAGCTGCATGCTGGGCCGTAGCCAGGCTCTGGGTATAACAGGCTCCTCCAAGAGGACGCTTACCCAGGAGTTCCTTCCTCTCACTCTGGTCAGGCCCGGCTGGGTTTGAGTTGGTGAAAGGTTATGGCTGAATGCTTTGGGTCTCATCCCACACGGACCCAGAAATCTGGGAGTGTACAGGGAGCGACCCCTCTCACCAAAGGAGTTAAAGACTGACCGTGGTGAGTAACTGGAATGTCTAAAAGAAGAAAGGAGAAGGGTTGAAGAGAAAAAAAAAAAAAAAAAGTGAGGAGGAAAAAAGGCAGGACAGAAAAGGAAATAGTGATAAATGCTACCCACAAATGCTCCAGCGGTCACTCTGAACCTATGCAGTGAGCCAACTACACTCCATTTACAGGGATGTGAGAAGAGAGGGTGGGGGAGTGGGAGTGGCAGGGGGAACGTGGGAAAGGAGCCAAAACAGGCCAAGAGAGAATAGTTTATGGGTCTGGAAGGGTTCTACCTTGGGCCATGAGACTACATTCTGCCTCCTGAATTTGGTGCCCTGTTGACAGATCAGATTACGTGGACTGGTGCCCAGAATATATCAGTTTGGTTCCCTGAAAACACTGCATTTCTGGTTAGTGGAAACTTCTCACCAATACCACATTCTCTCCAGAAAGCCTAGCTTGGGAAGCCGATTACGATAGAATCTGACCCCCAAAAGGGATGTGGCATTCTTGTTCTGATTTTTTGGAGACTAGAATCCCCAAACCAGAGAACTTCTCAGTAGAAAGTATATAATAGGATAAGAGTTTGATGCCAAGGCTGAAGGACGAATCGAGGTTCTCCTCATACAAATGACCTTTGGGGATCACAACTCTCCAGACCTCCTCTCTCACCCAAGTGGGGAGGCAGTGATTCCTTATTTTGCCATCCTGGGTAGTGACCGTAGTGAGAGCTTGGCTCTGGGGCTAAACAAAGACAAAGAGCAGCCAGGCCAGCCTTGCAGTCAGACATCAGCTCATCAGAAGTAGTCGAGGGAGCTTTGAAAGTAGCCACAGTGCTGGGATCATTCAAATTTTTCCCAGCCAGAGTACAGAAACTCAAACTATGTCAATGGCGAGCATTCCAATTCCGTACAAGTTAGGGAGACATTCTCTGAGATGTTATGGGCTTTGCAGTAGCCCAAGGAAAAGCCAGGGCTAAAACTCAGACCTGACTATCACCTGTTGTAAAATGGCAGAAGCAAGAAGCAAGCGGCTCAGAGAAAAGGGAAAGAGAAGAGGCCAGGGCAACCTGCACCCTCCCTCTATCCCTCAGAAGGAGGGGACGCAATACCAGTACCTGCGTTAGGACGATGTCTCAGCCCACCAGCACCAGAGCAAAGCCGATATGACCACCAGGCCTACGAGAGGCAAGGAGAAGATGGGGGGATTGGGGGCAGGGGATGGCTGCAACATATCAAATGAGAAAGAGGCACGAGGAGAGACCAGAGATGAGAGATGGTATAAAAAGACATAAACACATGAATCCAACAGATAATGAAGATGATAAAACAAAGGGAAAAGGGAAAGAGATCAAGAGGTTAAACAATAGGTAAGCGAGAGCAGCGGTATTTCTTCTCCGCTACTCGGGCCTGGTTCTTCCCGTGGGTCGCCTTCGGGAGATGCAAAACTGCAAGGGTTAAGCAGCGGCGTAGGTCCAATTCGGGGCCACATTTTTGGCTTGTCATATCCCTCTTATACCTTGTCAAGCAAGGGTTATCTGCACCTAGACCTTTCTTGTAGGTCAGTAACTGGAAAAGTGAAGCTCCAGAGAGTAACGCTGGGCTTTCCGGATGAGCAGGATATCTACTTTGCCTGGGTCACTCTAGGAAGGGCAGCCTCCTGCCAGGCCACCTGTCCCTTTGTTAGCCGCGTGTTCTGGCTGTGTTCCACCAAGTCTCAGTGTTCTGGGACATCCCCTAGGAGTCTGATGCTGTCGTTGTGAGACAAAACGCACTAAAACAAGCTAACGATGGAGAAGGGCGAGCTCTTGACTGCAACCATCTTCCAGGGAGAAAATGAATTTGCAGGCGGTAATACATATGCCAGCAGAGCTGCCTGTAAAAGATGCAGGACCCACTGAGGCAAAGGGACGCCTCCATATGCAGACACAAGGAATGTACTTGATTGTGATGTAGAAAAATCCAGTTTGGTGTTTAGAAAGCTGGCACATGAGGCAAGGTAATCTATGAGGCTCTGAACCAGCATGTGGCAGGGTATGAAGAATTCAAAGAAATAGAACACTGGGGAAGGGGCTGTGGTTACTCCTACTTTTCACGTCCTAAACAATGGTTCTCTGCCATGAGGTTGACAGAGAACTGTAACTGGGTCCTTAGCCAGTGCTGCAGACTGAACTGACTGAACTGCTGAAAATTCCAGATAACTTCGAGATGACTGGGGCATCCCACCACAAGAGACTTATTTTCTTCCCCTGTGTTTAGAAGGACAGAAAGAACCTGTACTACAAACTGGGGACTTATTCAGGTACTACTCAAACCCTTCGGAACTCAGAGCCCCCGGTTAACTTCAACCAGGGCAGAGATTCAGCTAGTATGTTCCTGTATGGATGCGCCAGTTGTTAAAATACTGAAATATTTTTGTGCAGTTGGTACATTACCCAGGATACTCCCACCCGACCTCTCCAGATCCGGTAACTAAGGGGTCAGACCTCTGGCTGGTCTCCCAAGACCGGCCAACGGCTCTGCTCTAGAGACGGAAACATGCTATCACTTCCGATCGGCCCTGGCCCCCACTCTCATGCCCTGTAATATTACATAGAGCCCAGCAGGCGACAGCAGCCTCTCCACACCCCTCACGGCAACAGAGGTCAGCCCTAATAGGGCACCTCGGGAAAGCAGGACTGGGTGACTTGCCCAGGCTGACAGAAATGCGTGGTGCGGTGCTGGCGAAGGGTGAAGAACCCTCCCGAAGTGAGTAACGAGGGTTATTACCACATAAATGAAAGGAGGCAGGACTCCGACCGGCACGCCCCGGTTCCCAGAGAAGGTGCTTTCTGTGAGACAGTTCCACAGCCTTTCCCGCAGAGACTGCTCTCTCCAATCCCACCTCCACCTCCATTTTTCCCCAGTGCGATGCCTCAGAGCTTGCTGGCCTCTACTCCTGTAGAATTCCATCCAAGGGCTGGGTCACACCTGAATGCTGGGCACCTGCGCCCAAGAGCCCATTCCCCACATGATCCTGCCTTTGGCTGTGGTTACCTTTTTGCTCTCAGAAGGCTTGAGGGGGATGCTTCCCTCTGAAGCTTCATCGTCCTCCTCTTGGTCGTCACCTTCTTCCTTACCCTCCTGGCTGTGGAACTCTTCATATCTCTCCTCCTGGTCTGCTTTGAATTTAACCTCTCTAGGACCTGATGGCTCAGAAACTAGTGCATCCCAGGACTCCTTTGTTTTGTCCTCAATTGTCTCCTTCGTTTCCTCTTCTAGTTCCTCTTTCGTTTGATCGTCCAAGGCCACATGGTTGGCCTTGTAGTACAGCACCACCTCCAGACTCTGCGAGGCGGAGGCAGTACAGGATGGGGGATGCTGTTACCTGGGAAGATGCCTACCCTCATGACGATGCTTAACTACCTCAAGAACACGCTGCTTCCCACAGTGCACAGACAGCACTGTGTCCTGGGACTGAACTGATGTCCCGCGCACAGTGGGGAGGGTGGCCACACCCAGCCTCTCTGGACCCGTACCACATCTATCTGGCCATTAGCCATTTCCAACCGTTCCCAGAGCTAAAGATTCTGCACCTCAACTGCTGCTTCCTACCCTTGCCTGGTGACCCCCCATTTTATCCAGTCCTCTTCCACCTATATGTACACAACTGCTTTGAGTAAATCCCCCTCTTTCCATCCATTTGGTCCTTCTCTTGGGCATGTGACCCAAGAAGAAGAACAGGGGCCCCAGAAAATTGCACTGGTCTAACTGAAACAGTCATCCAGCCTAGGGGCTCCAGGTCTGAGTGGTCTGTATTCCACTCTCCCCTTGACCTCACAGGAAAAGGGAGTACCAAACTGCTATTAAGATAGAACTACTCTAGACACATTAGAGATCCCAGAAGCTTCTCTACAAGTACCTCATCTGGTCGGAATGGTGGTGAAGGTGATTTTCCTTCCTAGGATCCCCTTTAACTTTCTGCTTATCTGGCTACCAAGGTTACTACTCACCTTTCTGCTCTCACAGCTGACCTCAGAACTCTCCAGGCTTGGCTTGGCCACCTTTTTACGTTTAACCCCATTGGCATTCTTATTCACGTTCTCATTGCCATTCGTTCCCTTGGTTTCTTTGGTAACAGAGGACGTTTTCTCTTTGAGCTGGTGAAGCTCTTCCTGGCAGCACTGCAGCTGCCCCTCCAACTGCTCCTGCACGGCCAGGAGCCGCCCCTGCTCATCCACGCTAGCCTGGTACTGTAGCTGCAGCTCCCGCAGCTTGGCCTGCAGTTCTTTGATCTGTTGGTAGTGGAGGCCCAGTTATCCATAGCTGGGCCTACGTGATCAGCCTGGCCCCTGCTTCAGAAATCTCCCTGCTAAAGCCCAGGGGGACGTAGATAATACAGAAAACATTAAACTGTTAAAAATGAGCCTCTAAAGCAGTTTTAGAGGTTCTCCCTAACTTGAGGCACTTGATGACTTACATCTAACATGATCAAAAAAGGATGACTAAAATTATGTTTTTACTGTGAACTGTCAGGGGAATGACAAAAGGGCTAACCCCTTCTGAACCGTGGGGCTTTATTACGTAGTAGTTTTTGATGGGAACTCCTACTTTGCCCAAGCTATTTCTCTAATAGGTACCATCATTACCATAGGAACTGTGTTGTACTCCTGAGACTGGACCTGGGCTCCTGCACCTCACCCTGGAAACGGAGGCAAGTGCCAACCCTGCTCCCTACTCCCTGGTTTCGTCTTTCCTGGCTTCTGGCAGCACATCTTGGCCTCCTGGGGCAGGTACCAACACTAAGCAACCTAGGCCCACGTGTTTCTCGCTCTCTGAGCCTCCCCCATGCGTACAGTGGCCCCCACTGGACAGAGGACTACTCTTCGTCAGGGACAATGCCCTCTGTCCCACTCCTAGTGGACGCACAGCACTCTGCTTGGCATTATGAGAGATCCAAAAGAAGACACAGCCCTGTCCTTGAGGTGCTTACAATCTAGCTGAAGAGAAGAGACAAGGTGGAATACACACCAACTAAAGAAAATTGGAGGTAAAAAAAATACAACTCTATAGAAGTGCTCTAGGACAAAGGAGAACAGATGTGGCAAAGGGGAAAAAAAAAATCATTCAAGGAGTCTTGATGATCAGTAAATCCCAGCACAGTGGGCGCCTGAGAAACGTCCGTCAGTGGCACCACAGACTGCCCAGCCTCTTGGGGTTCAGCCCCTGCTCTGTCCCTCTGACCAGGAGGAGGGCAACTGTACAGAGCTGGCAATGGGCTCCTCTCTCTCTCCTCAGCCTCTCTGAAAGGGCTCCGACCTCCTCTGGCTCTAGGGACTCCTACCTGAAACCCTGCCTCCCTGAAAGCAGTTACCTCGTGCTCCTCATTTTGGGAGGCAACGGTCTTCTCCAGGCATTCCACGCACTCCCTGAGTTCCTTCTCGCAGGCATCCAGCTCTTCCCTCAGCCCCTTCTGCTTGTCTAGCAGGTTTCTCATCTGCTGCCGCAGCAGGTCGTGCTCCTCCTGGCTGAGCCGGTACATGGCCTGCACCCCCTGCAGCTTCATCAACACCGTGGCAACCGTGTCCTCAAAGCGCTGTGGAGGGCAGGGGAGCGATGACGGCACCCTGAGGAGCCCCTGCACTCCGCCCACTCTCTTCGCTAGGCCCTTTCTTGGGTACAAAACAATGGCCACAAGGATCTGAAGCTGCCCAGGGGGAATCCTGTATTTCTTCCCAGAAAGAGCACCATGACTGTGTTGATGAAAAGTCCTGAATCTTAGACTTCCATCCAGATGGAGCATCTCCGTATGAGGCAGGCAGAGTACCTCATTTATTTCCTGTAAGTTAGTTACCCTGCTCAGCTCTGAGCCCACTGCCCACTTCACCTCTTGTGCCCTTCCCCGTGACTTCTCTCTTAATAAGACAAGAACCTTCTTCCCCTATCTGACCTGACATCTGGTTACTTTTACCTCCGTATCTTCAGGATCAGCAAGTTCGTCGTCCATGCTGCTGCTGACGTAACTCTTGTGACAGGCGTCAGAGCTCCTGCTGGTGCCGTAACTCCTCTTATAGGCAATGCTGCTGCTGCTGCTGCGGTAACTCCTCCCACAGGACTCCCCGGTACTGGTGCTCCTGTCATAGCTCTTGAGGAGGCTCTCTTCGCTGGCCTGGCTGCTGTTGTAACTCTCGTGACAGCTCTCGTTGTCATCAATGTTACCACCTCTGCGACAGTTCTCGTTGCTGGTGGCCGTGGTCCCGTAACTCTTCTTGTAGGACTCAAGGCTCATTTTCACAGAAGGGGACTGGACTTGGAGCATGTGAATTTCTTCCAGGCAGAGCTGCAGGTCGGCCTGCAGCCTCTTCCGCTCCTCTAGAAGCCGCTCCTGCTCCTGCTGCAGCAGCTCCTGCTCAGCCTCACTGGCCTCGTACAGCTCCTGCAGAGCCTGCATCTGGGCGATGATCACCTTGGACTGCCAGGAGTGGGCGGGGAAACAGCATCGTTACCCTAGACACTGCGGTCCTTCTAGCTGCACCCCTCCTGGTGCGGATGTCTGAGAGCACAGGTCAGAGCACTGCACACCTTACCCTCCCGTCTCACCACAGCCTAGATCTTTGACTTTGCCTACAGGTAACTGGCATGTGTCAATTTTTTGCTCACTGGAGAAAATCTCCCTGGGACGGATAGTCCACGATTTCTGGCCTCCCATTTCTGCTGGTTTCCATATGCTCTGGTAACTTCCCATCTCACTGGAAGCAGCACTGAGTGGATCTCAAGGTCACTCGGGCTCCCTCCCCTCCCCTCTTCTCAGTCAGGTGTATCCATTATCCTGACCTCTGGGGCTCAGTCCCCTCCGCCACCCCCAATTCTAAAATCAGCCCTGGCCTTGAATATGAGCATATGAAGAACTTCTTCCTCAGAAGATGCAGACTTGGAATCAAGGTCTCACTACAAGTCCCTGTCGTAGTGAGGGACTCCTCCTGCCTCAATTCTGAATCTGGCCCCTGGGCATGTTTCCCAGGCCCTCGGGGCCTGGCTTCTTGGGAGCTGATGCCCAGGATGAGATCTGATTGGTTAAGGGAATATTTTATACCTGGTTCCTGGTGTCTGCTATCCAGGCTTAAATCTGACACCCCTGGAATCTGACCAAATCTCAGTTTGGACTTCCACTATTCCCTACATCTATCTGCCTGTCTAGGCTAATACCTGAACAAATCGATTGAAATTGAATAAACTTCAATTTCAATGAATTGAAACTGTCTACCTGCCCTTCCTTGCCCCCACTGAGGCCTCAGACCAAATGCATCTCCCAACCCTGAACAGACTTGTCTAGAAATCTCCTTCAGTGTGACCTCAGAGGCATGACCACTTGCTGGTGCTTGAGACCCATGGATTCTCTAGTCCAACGCCTCTGACCAGGCTGTTATTGCCACAAAGTTCCAATGAAGACAGTGAGGTCAGTACCAAGAAACCCCACACGCTGGGAATTCTTCCCTTGGAAATAAATGGCCTCAGATGTGCCTCATGTAGAACGCCAAAAGGTTACAGATTTTGGTCCCTGGAAAGCTTCCTTCTCGATTACCACCGAGTTCATGAGGAAAAGATGGCATGTTTAGAGTCAGTCCTAAGGGATCCAAACAAACGCTAAGTTGATCTACTTCCAAATACGTCTGGAAAATGAGATGCTGAAGAGATTGAGTCAAATCATCAGGAGATCACAAGCTTCCAGGTCCTCTGGTTTCTAAGTGTTCACAGTGCTTCAACTGGGCATCCATCTGAGGGAGCAGCTAAGGCCGTACCTAAAGCCACATCTTAATGAGCCCCTGAGTGGCTGCGAGGGTGGAGCTTTAGCTTCATCCTTGCGCCCGGCAAAACAGGGCTTCGGAACTCTGACCCCTCTGTGGCGCCCCCTTTCCCTACAATGCTGTTGCCCCCAGAACTATCTCCCTGCCTCTTGCTATAGTTACCTTGTTATGACCACATTTTGAGGACTCAGGCCATTTGGAGTCCTTCGGATTCTCCAACACTTCCCGGAAATCAGACTCCTTGAAACGTTGCAGCGCTCCGTGCAGTTCTAATTGTTCTTTTAATACACTTTCTTGATTCTGTATCAGTTTTTTCTGCTCCTCCTGCATGCCTTGGTAGACCATCTGTAGTTCACACAGGTCTTGTAACTTTGTAAGGAGCTCCTGACACTGTGAGGCAGAGTGGAAGGAAGAGGGCTAGAACTGTGGTGGTTACACAGCAAGACCTCTGCCTCCTTCCTGCTTGGGACCCTTCCCTTAGGGGGGCTGGCTCTGCACAGCCCATCTGGGACAGGAGGGGAGTCTCTCTTTGGAGACCTGCTAGTTGAGTAGTAACGACCTCATATGTTTGGATGCATTTTGCAGTTTGCAAAGTGCTTTCAAGTACATTTTCTCCAGACGGACTGAATATCTAAATATAAAATGCTGGACAGATTCCAGAGTATAGGATGTATTTTAAGATTTAGAGCCCTAATCAGCTATATTGAACAGTTTTGTTTGAGGAGGTTGGTGAGAAAGTAAGGAGTGGTTGGTTAAGAAGAGAAAAAGTTCCATCCCCACCCTTTTACTTCTCCCAAGTACAGTCACGTCTGGGCAGCTCCTCACAGCTAGCAGCAGCCGCTGGCTGTGATTACCTTGTGGAAGAGACCAGATCTGGGGAGCGGGAACGTGAGCCTGTGCAGCTCTTCGTGCAGCTGGCCCTGCGCCTCCTGCACCCTCCTCTGCCTCTCCAGGAGCTCGCACTGCTCCATCTGCAGCCGCGCCACCTCCTTCTGGCTGGCCTTGTACCTCTCCTGCAATTCTGTCAGTCTGAAGAGCAGTGCGTCACACTGTGGACGGGGCAGGGCGCGCAGGGGTGCTTACTCTGGGAGGCAGGCTCCCTGGCGTTTCTCTGCCCCGTGCGGTCAGCAGAGCACTCCGTGTTCTCTTACCTCTTGTGATTCACCAGGGTCTCCCACCCTGTAGTCACCTTAGACTGATCACCCCAAGCCGCACTGCGCCCATACAGGCCTAGATGCTGAATGCGAACCCCAGCAGGCTGCTCAGGATTGAAGTTTGGCTCTGCTCTAAATTTTGCCTACTAGTTCTTTCTGAGGGCAGTTTTCGAGGGAGGTTATCAGCGCCCCTCCCTTCTCATTTCCCCACCTCCACTTCCTCTGGTAGATACTATTTTCCCACCCTGCAGGGAATTCTAGTTCCTGTTACTCTCCAGTTGTTTCTGTAACTATGCTCCTTACCAATAAGGACTTACTTTCACCCTAATTTTCCCCATTTTTGTTTTCATAATCAGCTTTAAGAATCTTTAGAGAAGTATGAGCTGTTGCTGAATTTGGGTTGAGAGGACTAAACCATCCCATGATTCCAAAAACCCAAATCTTCTAGTATCAAACTAATCTCAATGTTCTTTTAGGAGACGAGAAGAGGCTGGCTCTGTATGCCAGCAAGCTTCTCCCTTCCCATAGTTTCTTCCACTAGGAGAGAAAGTGGACCCCCTGGATCTCTAAATGGACAAGTTATGGACCCCCTGGATCTCTAAATGGAATGGGAGTGGCGGGGCGGGGCGGGGGGGAAGTGAGCCTGGCTGTAGAAAGGCAGGTGGACTATTGGGGCAGCCCATGTAACGTCCCCAGTTCTGTGTCTTCTGAAGGCCTTTCCCTGGGGATATAGCCTACTGTTGGCTGTGGCAGGAGCTACTGAGTATTCTGGCAGAAGGCGACTAGCTCCACCATCTTTTGGAATCTTGCACCTTTTTTGCATCATGCTTCAACACTTTTCCATTTCCTGTCAGTGGTCAGGAGCTGAAAGTACTCAACAAGGCTAACTAATAATGACTTGCATTTTATACACTATGGAAAAAAGGGTAAGTGAAGAAGGAAGGCCTTATTTATCACTACCAGGATTTTTTTTACTGAAAGAAAGTGAGATAAGAGTAGTGTTCTGTTCAATTTAAAGAGGGTAAAATTCAAGCTTAGAATTTAACTACTCTGAAGTCACAGAATAAATCCTGAAAAAGCCTAGGTCCTTCTAATACCCAATTAGCACTCTGGGCACAGACCATGCCTTTTGACGAGAGCACCTACAATCTGCCTCAGAAAACTGGACCTTCTCTTTCTAGTTCTAACAATCATAGTTGTGTATATGGGCCTATGTATATGTTCTTTTCCACGAATGACAAGATATCACTACAGTTCTAACAATAAGGTATAAATGTCTACACACATGAAATCATGTGTGAAATCTTCAGGTGTTCAGACTGGATCCAGAGGTATTGATTCTACTAAGCTGTGGCTTGGGCTCAAAGTCAAGGTCAAGGCAAAGTTTTAAAGTTAACAGCATGGGGCTCTGCCTGTTTTCTGCCTTTCCACATACATCTGTGATTGGACAGGAAGTCCATCAAGCCTCTTGGTTGGATGACTTCATCTTTTGCCTCTATACCTCCTCTCTCCAAGGCTCAGGAGATCTCACCTCTCTTAATTACAATTACCTTATCAGCACACTTTCCCTTGTCCTCTGGGATGGACTGGGTGGTCTTGAGCTGCTGCAGCTCCTGCTGGCAGAGCAAGAAGTCCTGCTCGAGCTGATCATACACGTGCTTTTGCCGCTCCAGCGCATCCTTGCTGGTCTGGTACAGCCACTTCATCTCCTGCAGCTGGGCGTGCATCTCTGCATTCTGGGGCAGGGGAGGCAGACCCCGCCATCATCCCAGAAGCCCCCATGGCTGCACTCTCTCCTCTCAGGCAGGGACTAAAGGGTCCTGTCCTTTCCAGTTCCAGTTTCATCCCAGCGGGGACTACCTGAGATGGACCAATCCCTAACAGGCTCTACACAGAGACCTGGGACTTCCTCTTTTGGAAGGTGGGGAAGGGAAGCAGCTTCCTTTTTACAGCTCTTTCTGATTTAAAATCGAAGGAAGCTGAGCGCATCGTGACCCTTTGAGATCACGTTGCCATGAAGCACTTTTTTATCTCCCTCATCGACAGCTCCTCCACAGAACTCCACCACCCCACTCCTCCTGTGGACTTGTCCCCTCATGGGAGGCCCTGCCGTGCTACGTTCTCCCTCACCTGAAGCTTCGTTTACCTTCTCTCTGCTCTCTTGGAAGGAGGCCACGATGCCCTTGAGGTGCTGCACCTCCGCCTCGTGGCAGTGCAGGCTGTCTTGCAGCTGCTGCTGCACGGCCAGCAGCTTGTCCTTCTCACACGTGATGTTCTGGTACTGCAGCTGCAGCTTCTGTAGCTGGCACTGTAACTCCTGCGGTGGAGGGGGCCTTGGGCAGTACCTCTGGGATCCTTAACCCACTCACGCTTCTGCTTCAGTCACTCTCAGACACAGACGGTCTGAGAATCCACTTCTCCCTGCCCTGCACTTACGGGTGTCCTCTCACCCAACAGAGGACTCGAGGGCGGCTGGAGTTCTGTACCTGTGGTGCCGCACAGGTGGCAGCTGGAGCTATTTCAGCACTCAACTCTTATCCCCCTCCCCCCAAACCTCTGGCACCTAAGTGGCCCCTCACCTCGGGGTCGTTGTTACCTTCTCACTCTGGCTTTCTACGACTGTGGGTTTCATAACTTTGAGCTGCTGGAGCTCAGCCTGAAGTTGTAGCTGTACCTTCAAGAGCTCATTCTGCTCATCCTGGCTAGCATCATACTTTTGCTGCAGGGCACAGAGTCTGGTCCTCAGCTCCTCGCTCTGCGGTGGGGAGGATGTGGGAAGAACGGTTACTCTCGTGAATCAGCAGACCCCTCTCCAGACCAGAGTGGTTCTTTTCCAGACGCAGACATCTTGAGGCACTCCCACAGGCCTATGGTTTAGTTTCTTTTCTGCGGCAGACACTCGATAACGACTACCATTTCTAGAATGCAATGCTGTGTGATTTCTCCAATTGCTCTCTGGTTGCAGGGCAAGAGTCAGCAGAGCACAGCCTTCCTCTGCGTTCATCCTCCCCGGAAATGGCGACTCCACGTAGGCCCTTCTGCCCTCCCCGATGCCCTTCCCCTGTCAGTGTTTACCTGGGTGACACTGTGGGAAGTCTGAAACCGAAGCACCTCATCCTGTGCACACTTGAGCTCTCCCTGCAGCCGCCTCTGCTCCTCCTCACTGGTCCGGCGATGATGCTGTAGCTCTTGCAACTCACAACTCAATTTCTTACACTGTGTGGGAAACGCAACAGGAAGGAGGACTTACGACAGGTACCATAGGCTCTCTGGGAACAGGTTTGGGCAGAGTATGTCATTCCTTTTACCGGAATATTCAGTAAAAGGCAAGCAAGTGAGACCCTGGAGTCCTATCTCTTGCCACAGCACCTGCCTCCCTTGTCAGCCTCGTGTCTAAGGAGATGCTGCGGCCACAGGCCAGGAGAAGGTGGGAGCGAGGCCGTAAAGGGGCCTGCCTTTCCCTACCTCGTTCTGCATGTCATGCATCTGCTCCTCAGCTCCCAGCAGCTGCTGTCGCAACAAATGCATTTCAGGATCCGGCTCCAGGAAATCCTCTTCTGAAGTCTGAGACTCTGCTGACTTCATACTCCCTAGGGCTTGGGACTCCAGGCACCTTTCTGTTGCTCTTTGTGTCCTGTAATCCAGAACCCCAGAGTCATGTTTGGGAGAGAGCTCTGCCCGGCATCGCCTGCCAAGTGTGCTTGGTCCTGATGTCTTCATTTTAGGCAAAAGGAGCCTTCTATAGTGATTCACCTCTCAAACACACCTAGGAGATTACAGAAAAAGTCCCCAGCACCTCAATCTGCAAAGGTATGTCTGGCTCTGGGAGACCCTGAGAGTACTAATCCAGTCGGGCTCGAGGCTGGGCCTGGAGTCACGCCAGCTCCAATCTGGAGGTAATATACCATCAGACTGAATCATGCCTGGGAGGACAACAAAGTAATTGCTTCTTATCTGCTCTAGGGCAGAGCAAACCAGACCTAATGCCTAGAATGGAAGAAAACTAAATTTTAGAACTCACTCAATTCTAGTCCTGAGACATCTGGGTTGGACCCCAAGACCTACTTCTTGGCAGCATCCATATCCTTTGGATACCAGGGAAAGGACCGGCTCACCAGGACCGGAGGGAGGCTCATTAGCCTGGCATCTGCCTTCACCAGTTCTACTCAGGGAAAAGCCCAGTCCTAAAGAGCCCCGCCAGCCTCCAGGCTGTACCTCTCACTCTCCAGATCCGCAAGCTGTCCTGTGAGGCTACTGTTGTTCTCCTGGAGGGCCTGGTACTCCTCGTTCAGGAAGCGGTAGCGGTCCCGCAGTTGCTGCAACTCTTCTGCAGAGGACAGGCAGAGAGGTGAGATCCCAGGGAGGAAGCACTGACGACCAGCCCACAATTTTCCTGCCTAGAAATCTGGCTGCAGAAAGCTGAAGAGTTTCTTTTTCTAAAGACAGATGAGATACCACATGCAGAGGCTTAGAAGGCAGGGCCCGGAAAGTTCTGCACCGCTGTGAGTCTTTATCCTCTTTCAGTTAGCTGCCCTTCTTTTCAACTTCCCAGAAGACTGCCCTGTGTGCCCATCTTCAAAACCCCAACCAAGGGGTTGGGTAGGGGTGGCAGGGGGAAAAACACCAACCAAGACAGTCTTGAGATTTTTAGGAGCTTGCGAGGGTTTAAGTAAGTTTTTGGTTTCCTGAATTTAAAGTTTCCATTCAACTGTTCACAGTTAGTTTCCTCTTACACTTTTAGTACAAAAAGCTGAGAGTGTTAACTGCCAGATGTCATTCTGCCAGTGCCGGGCTTTCAGAGACAACCCAGGCATCCTTTTACTTCCTTTATTACCACACCAAATCCATCGGCCTGCACATGGCCAAGAATTCTTTCTAATGATCTTTTATCTCTGACAAAAAAGCCCACCCCGACCAAACCTACAACTCATCCGCAGGCGTCAGCAGAGATCTGGCTGAAATGTCCCAGCACACGTCCCTGAGTTCCAGATACCAATACTTTTTAATGCTGTGACAATATAAACACCCGTATCTGTTTTGTTTCTTCATGATTAAGAATTATTTCTCTCAGAATACTGCTGATACTTAGAGAACACCAGCTTGCTCGAGTTAGAATACAAGGCCTATCTTACCTGCTTTGAGATTCAACACCCTGAAATTCACTTCTAATGTTCCCTCTTTAGTCCAATCAAAAGCCCTCGGCATACTCCAGATTATCATAGAAGGAAGGAAGGAAACTAATCTTTAATGAAAACCAACCACGCGCTAAGCATTAGACTTGATGAGTCCAGCCTCGGATTCAGCTGTGTGTGAGTGCCTTCAGTACACTAGGCATTTCATTTAATCCCCCAAATAGTCATATAAGGTTTTCTTTCTTTCTTTCTTTTTAAATAAACTTTTAGTTTTAGAAGAGTTTTAGATTTACAGAGAAGTTGCAAGGATAGTGCAGAATTCCCCGGGAGTGTTCTCACCTAGTTTCCCCGACTGTTAACATCTTCCCATGGGTACATTTGTCATGACTAAGGAATGAACACTGGTACTTTACTGTTAACTAAATTCTATACTTCATTCAGATTTTTCTACATTTTCCCTAAGGTTCTTTTCCTGTTCCAGAATCCCATCCAGCTATAAAGTTTTATTAATCAATTTTTATAGCTATGGAAACTGAGGTCCAGGGAGATAATAACCAGGCTATTTATCCTGCTAATTAGCAGAGCTGAGATTTTGAACTTGGGTCTGTTTAACTCCAGCCCAAGCGTTCCCACTGTGCTGGCCTCCCTCTCCTAGTACACCAGCCCAAAAGCGCTTCTGAGAGGCCTGCTACAGCTGGGAAAACTTGCAGTTCTTTGATTCCTTGTTGATTGCCTCTGCTTGACCTGGCCTAGTACAGGGCCTCACATTATACCTAGATCATAAATCTAGCCTCAGAATAAAGGCAAACGCTCTGATGTCATGAAACCTAGCAGCTAGCTGGGAGACTGAGCAGAGCTCTAAGCTTTTGAGGACTCACGTATTACTGGAAATAACCTCTGTTCCTCTCCAGCTGTCTTGTGCTCTGGTTTGCTGCCCCCTAAAGCTTCTACTTGGGGAGGACTAAAGGAGGCTAAAAATTAGCATTGTGGGCATTCTGGGACTTGGGAGCAGGACTGGGAACCCCTCACCCCAACCCACACAGAAAGTGACCCAAGCAAAGCACCATGATGCCAGGGCAGTGGGAAGCTTTCCAAGGTGACAGGCCCCTATACGCCCACCCCAGAAATGGAAACTTTTTCAGGAAGGGCTTTAGCATAGGCAAATCAACAAATGCCCAATGGCTCTCTGAGGAAGAATTCTCAGGGTACAGCTCCATGGTGCTATTTCTTACACCATTATGGACTGGTTATATGACACCAAGTTTTTCTCTCTTACAGTCTTGAATCCAACATGGAAGCTTTTTCTAGAGGCTCCCAATTCATGATCTAAGCCCACCTTCCACCATCTTCTTGCGTACTATTTCCCTCTGCTTGATTTGACTGACAGACCAGGAGGAGGGCTGGCTTTCTCATACCTTGCATCTCAGAGAAATCTGAGAGACTTAAACTATTGGATGGGTCAGAGTTCTTCATTTCTATTTCTGCACGGAGGGAGGTGATCTCCATCTCATACTCTCCTCGGATGCGCTCCATGTCCTCGAGTTCATTCTGCATCCGGCAGAGATCCTCCTGCAGGGAGGCTATGTCGCTCTCATGTTCAGTCGCGGAGTCCTCCGCTGCTTGCCGCAGATTCTGGATCTCAGCCTGGGCCAAATGCAACTCCTGCTCTATTTCTTTAAGTTCACTTTCTTTTTCATGCTCTAACAGGGAAATCTCCTCCCGCAGAGACCGCAGCTCACCTGCAAAGCCCAAAGACGATCTTGAGATGATCAAGAGGACAAGTGAACTCATCTACCATATTCTAGAAGCACAAAGTTAACGGCAGACTTATTTCTTATCTGGAAACTCCCGACAACCTGCTCTCTACCCCATCAGAGAAGTATAGCTTCACCTGATATGGAATAAAGGGAATACCTAAGAAGAGAACAGAGTGAATCTATGTAGCAAGGTGCAGTAGAAAAGTAGATCTTGAGGTTTGGCATCAAAAACAAATTAGGCTCCTCCAAACAAAAAGTATTAAGTGCTTCTATGAAATCGCCTGACAGTTAAAGACCAAACCTAATTTACAGCATTTTACTGATGCCCTGAGTCTTTCCAAAAAGCCCCTTACTAAAAAATTTACACAGACTATTCTCATCTATTCAGTCTGGGAGCTTAGAACTCACAGAGCCTCAGATCTCCCATGAACTGCCTGTGTAAGTACTGGTCCCAAAACAATGTGTATTTAGAGCTCACAGCTGAAATTCAAATATAGGTTCATCTCATGAGAAGCAAACATGGGAAAATAACCTAGATGCCAGTCAATAAGGGATAGCTTAAACTGAAGAAGGTAAAATAGAATACTGGCAGCCATTTAAAAGAAAGTGGCAGATCTATAGAGAAGACATGAGAAAGTTTCCATAATATACTAACTAGGAAGAAAAATGAGCTGTAAAATACATGGTATTATCTTATTTTTGCAAAAAATATTCATATGTATAATATATAACACAAATATACAAAGACATAGAAAAAGATCTGGAAAGATATATGTCCTAAACCATACAGCATAGCTGCTTCCGAGGAATGAGACAGCATGTGAGAGGGGCTTTTACTTTCCACATCATATATATCAGTGCTGTCTGACATTTCACAACAAGCCTATATTTTATAATAGGTTTTAATTTACAAAAGAAACGTGTCAGAGCTCTCAGTATCCGTGGAGCATCTCAAGGTTTCTGGACAGACGTACCCATCCAGGATCAGGAGACTAAAAGTGGAGCGAGAGTAAAAGGCACTGCCACCAACAGAGAATTCAAAATTTGGGAGTCAGGATTCAGGAATTAGTGAGGATTGGATTGGGAGGGTCAGGACCTTCCCACAAACTCTTTGCAAGGCACACTGTCCCCATCCCTTGCCCCCAACTCCTGTTCATTCTACTCACTCTTCAGATTTCAACTTTCCCTAGCCTCACCCCCAACCTCCGCAAAAAATTAAGCAAAGCCCTCCATTAAATGCTCTCATAGCCCCTTGTACTTTTTACAGTGTGTGTGTGTACATAAAACGTTGGTCTCCACTTGTAAGCTTCATGAAGACAGGAAACATGTCTGTTTTTCTCACCATTACAGGTTCAGGATCTGCCAGAGAACCCAGCATAATGCACTCAATAAATATTTGCTGTATTCATGCATAAATGAGGCAGGGATACATCTAGTCCACACACTTTTACTGAGGACCACGGGTACAGAATTACATGTTCGGGGTGGGAGGGAGACTCAAGAGGGAGGAGATATGGGGATATATGTATTTGTATAGCTGATTCACTTTGTTATACAGCAGAAAGTAACACACCACTGTAAAGCAATTATATTCCAATAAAGATGTTTAAAAAAAAAGAATTACATGTTTGGGTATTTTTTAAAAAACTAGAACAGAACGTGGAGGTTTGAGAATAAAAATTTGGACACACTGCAGACATAAATGCTGAGCGGACCAGGTGTCTCGGAGGCAAGGGTACGGGGTGGGAGTGGCACGGGGGTAGGTCTCCTGCCAACCTTACACGGGTGGCTCCAGCCACATCTTTGCCAGTCTCTCCTTCTCTACAACCATCCTAGCTGTCTCCTCTCTTCAGTCTATTTGACAAGTATTAATTGATCACCCCTGTGCCAAGTCCAAACATCTCCACTTAGATCCTCTGACTTCCTTCCTGTTTGAAGGAAACAAAGCCCTTGCTCTTTCCACTACTGAACGGACACACAAGTCAACCGGCCATTAGGATAAAGGTCCGGGTGGGTGTTCTGTTGGAGGGCTGACCAACCTCTACTTCCCCACTTTGCCCTCAATGTTCGGGTTCAAAACTCCCTTAGGTTCTCCTCTGGGGTCTAGCCCTAAAAAAATGACATTCTCAGATGCACTGGGGAACGGAGAAAGGTCGCGCTCTGCCTCAGAAAGCTCTTAACTAGAAACACAGAGGGGCGGAGGGGTGGGGCTTGCAGACAGGCCCCAGGGAGGGGCTTATCGGGAAGATGGACGGGGCGGGCCGGCTGGGAGGTGGAAGGGCCTGACCAGGGTTCCGAAGAGCTGCCGCCGGTTGACAGTGAAGCTGGGGCCGTCGGGGCGAGGCCGAAGACCCGGGGAGGGGGACACAGTGAAGTCAGTTCTCACTCACTGGTTATGGCCTCCATCTTGCCAGAATCTCCCTCCTACCCCGCAAGTGGTCTCTCTGGGGGGCCCTCCCGCCGCCAGCCGGTCCCAGCCCCCAAGGGGCTGCGGCGGCCGGAACAGCCTCTCAACACCAGCTACCTCTGAGGCCGCGCGCGCCCCCTCTTGGCGGAAACGGGCAACGCACGTGCGCAAGGACTCTGTTTGCTCCAGCGAGGTGGGGTTTGGGCGCCTTCACCAGACCCGCAGCCCCACCCCCATCCCCGCGCTCAGATGAGATCCAATGCTCTACTGGATCCTTTCCTCCATCAGATCAACATGATCTACTGTGACCCATCCCCCCAAAACCCAAACACCAGAAGCTCTCCCTTGACTTCATTTCCCTTATTTCTCTGCTTCTCTTCAAGACATGACTGCGGGAATTATGGGTACTCACCTTCTCCATTTCACCTCCCCTTTCCTCTTCGATCCCGATACAATCAGGCTTCTATCTTCACTGAAATGTCTCAGAGCCCTCCATCTTGCCAAATCCAATGGCCATCTTACTTGACTTAGCAACTTCTGACACCACTGATCACTGTCTCCTTGAAGCACTTTCTGCTCTTGGCTTCCAGGTCATCAGATGCCTCAGTAGTTCCTCCTACCTCAGTCTCTTGTTCATTTCTCCTCCTCTATTGGACTTTTAAATTCTAGAGTAGCCCTGGGACTAGACCCTTTTCTCTCCTCTTTCTATATCTCTCCATGTGATTTCATGGTGATCTCCCTTGGATTCAAATGTCATCTATATGCCAATGACTCCCAGATTTATATATCCAGTCCTGATTTCTTCCCTGGTTCTAGATTCATATATCCAGCTGCTTCCTTAATATATTTACTTAGATGTCAATAGCCATTCCAAACTCAACATGTAGAAAACGTGTCTTAAATGGTTCCCCTAGCCCCAAAATTTGTTCCTTGTCAAGCTGTCCTCATTCCAATAAATGACACCACCATCTATTCAGTTTCTCAAGGTAAAGTCATCTTTCATGTCTCTCTTATCCCCCAATCCAATTCAGCAAGTCCTGAGAACTCCAACTTCAAATTACATTCTCAATCATCTCCATTTCTACAGCGCTAATCCCTCTAATCCAACCAATCATCATCTCTTGACTGGACTATTGCAGTTATTTGCTGACCAGATTCACTGTTTTGACTCCTTTCTCTTCATCCAATTTCCATACAGTAGCTGAAGTGCTCTTTTAAAAAACTAAAGTGGGGAGTGCCCTGGTGGCACAGTGGTTAAGAATCTGCCTGCCAAGGCAGGGGACATGGGTCCGAGCCCTGGTTCGGGAAGATCCCACATGCCGAGGAGCAACTAAGCCCGTGCGCCACAACTACTGAGGCTGCGCTCTAGAGCCTGCGAGCCACAACTACTGAAGCCTGTGTGCCACAACTACTGAAGCCCACGCACCTAGAGCCCATGCTCCGCAACAAGAGAAGCCACCGCAATGAGAAGCCCACACACCGCAACGAAGAGTAGCCCCTGCTTGCCACCAGCCCGCGCACAGCAATGAAGACCCAACGCAGCCAAAATAAATAAATAAATTAATTAATTAAAAAAAAAAATTAGCCAGCCTCCAGCCCTGGCTAATACCCTCCCATGTTTTTCCACTATACTTAGAATAAAAGTCAAACCTCTCAGCTGACCTATAAGGCCCTCTGTAATCTGAACTCTGCCTGCTTCTCAGAACTCTCTCTTACCCAAGTCCTCCACATGCATTTTGCTCCAGCCACAATGGCCTTTGTTCTGTCCCTCAAACACATGAAACTCATTCTTGCCTCTGACCTTCTGCAGTTGCTGGTTCATCTGCCTGGTGTGCACGTCCCTCAGATCTTCCTCATTATTCAGGTCTTAGCTCAAATGTCCTCTTCTCAGAGGACTTTTATAACTACCATATCAAAAATAAACTGGGCTTCCCTAGTGGCACAGTGGTTGAGAGTCCACCTGCCGATGCAGGGGACACGGGTTCATGCCCCGGTCTGGGAAGATCCCACATGCCGCGGAGCGGCTGGGCCCGTGAGCCAGGGCCGCTGAGCCTGCGCGTCCGGAACCTGTGCTCCGCAACGGGAGAGGCCACAACAGTGAGAGGCCCGTGTACCACAAAAATAAAATAAAATAAAATAAACTTCCATCTTACCCCATCTCTCCATATCATATTGTTATATTTTCTTCATAGCATTTATTGCCACCTGAACTGGTGGTGTTTGTCTATTTTCTGCCTCTCCCCATTAGAATGTACTCTTCATTAGGGGAGGGATCTGGTCTATCTCGTTCATAGCTGTTCCTCCAAGTATACAGGCACTCAATAAATGGTTGACAAAACATTTAAATTAGCCCTATTTTACAGTTAAGGAATTGAGTCTCAGAGAGATAAAAATGACTTGCCCAAGATCACAAAGCTTGTTATGTGGCAGAGCTGGGCTCAAGAATCTAGGTGACCTGAGACCAATGCTCACACTCTTTTCCCTGAGCAACATAGCTCCTGCAGTTTCTCTCCTTCCCCTCCCCTCCCACCTCAGCCTGTTTATTGTCTACTTTTCCTGCATCTACCTTTGCTTACATCTTCTTTCCTTTCTCTTTCCCTCCTCCTCTCCCACCTTGGCTTGCTCCTCTCCAGGCCTGCTTGCCGGCCTCCCTTTTTTTTCCATTTATACTTCTCTTTTGGCTTGATCTCAGTTCTCCCTGGAGAGTCCCTGCAGTTTTCTAGGACAGCTCCCAGGAACCTTCCAAAAGCCCACAGATGTAACAAAACCTGCCTCTTTATTTGGCGGCGCAGTGGAATGTGGGACGACTGCCTTGCTGCTTCCCAGACAAAGGCACGTGGGTGTTAGAAGAAAGGGCTTTTGGGGCCACCAGCTCGGTGTTAGGGAGCAAAAGAAGCATTCTCATCTGCCTCCCTTAAAAGATGCAGAGAGCCCCTCCAGTCACTTCTCATTGGCTCACTGCTATTCCCATGATGCCCTTGGAGGGACAGGCAAAAGCAATCTGGTTTGGAATTCAACCTTGACTACCTACCTGTGGACTGACCAGGAGAACAAAGAGAAAAAGGGATGCAGGTGTGAGGGGGAGAGACTGAGGAGAGAAAAAGGAGAGCGCCTCGGAAAGGGAGTGAAATGGGAGGGCAAGAAAGGGAAGGAGGGGGAACAGAAGAGCCAGTTAGAGGTGCAAAAAGAAAGGAAATTAGGTAAAGAGGAGGATGGAGAGGCAAGGAGAACAGGGCAAGAATAGTAGAAGAAAATGAGGAGAAAGTACCGAATTCGGTTCCGATGGTCTGCTATGTCTGCTATGCCTCAGCCAAACCCTCAAGAAAAAAGTACTTGGATGACCACCTGCCCTCCAGTCCGAGCGCTAGGATTTACCTTGGAGCTGCTGAATCTGCTTGGTGAACACCTCTGCCTGCTGGGCGCTGGCCAGCCGCTCATCCTCCAGGAGCCCTGCAGTGACGGGGAAGCTGGCATCAGGCCTGGGATCCAGTGCCTTTGGGCCCAGGCCCTCCGGCCCCATCACAGGCACTCACCCTGCAGCTCCAGTGAGTCGTCCTCATGCTGCCCTGCCAGTTCCCGGGTCTCCTCCAGCTCTGCCACCAGCTGCAGCACCTGAGCCCTCAGCTCCTCCAGCTCCGTCTCCGTGAGGCTCAGGCCCCGGTGCTTGCCAACCGACAGGGAGCCCACGCTGCCACTTTTCTGCACTTGATCATCCTCTTCTTCCACCTCTTCTTCCTCTTCCTCCTCCTCCTCTTCCTCCTCGTAGAGAGCTGGGAGTAACACTTCCCCTAGGAGAGACCCACCCCCCGCCACCAGCGAGTAAGAGCCAACTTCCTTTCCACAGGCCTTAGAGGGCCCTCCAACTCACTGTCCCAGGGCAGAGATGGTATAATAGTGCCACCTGGTGTCCCCCAAAGAGCCCCTGGGCAGGACATGCATGCATGAGGAGGCTTCAGGTGTGAGAGTCAAGTTTGGAGGTAGCCCATCCCCCTCCCGGGCCCTTTCTGGACCAATGTTGCCCCTGGTGGCCTCCAAGTACTGCCTTCAGGCAGACTGGGCAGCCAGGTGCTGGCTCAGCTACGTGAAGCTGGCACAAGGATACCTGCTTCTTCCATCCTCGTCTCTGGGTAGCAGGACAAGTAGTCAAGAAAGATTCAGACACTGGGTGTATCTTTAAGCCAAATAGGGCAAGAATTATAGTTTGGGGGTTTGTACAAAGTTTACAAATGATCCGGGTGGCTTGTGAGAAATTAGCCTTTCCATAATAAGAAAGGTTGCCTGTCAGCAGGTAGAGAAAGAGAACATCTGAATGAAATGACTCTAAATGTTTTATTGGACAAACACTGGGGCCCTTTCAAATATATTCTATCGAATAGTCTTTGGAATTTTCTACTAGGTCCACTTTTCTTTTCCCTGCTGAGTGTCAGGAGATCTCCCTGCTGACCACAAGGCAGTTTTAAGGGGGAAGTCATAGGTTGTACTTGAGTGTAAAAGATAGCCTGACATTTTAACGCATTAAGAAACTGGGGTGTGCGAGTCCTCAGCCTCTGGCTGGCGAGCACGCCCTCCTTTGCTGCAATGCAGTTCCTCTAAATAGAAAATCTTATCTGGATGGTAATAGTTTGCTTTGTTTTAAAATTTGGAGTTTCTGATCTTTGTCCAATAACCACAGCCTAAGGTTCATCTGGGACCCCTTGCATCATCTGTCCCCCTTGGGGAAGCAGGACTGTCCATATTGAGTGTGCATAGGGACCCTTCACAGGAGTCCTGGAAACAGGACCAGCATCCTTCCAGGCTCCTGGTGTTGGTGGGGATACATGTGTGTTGGGAGGTTGGTTGGCCTTCTCACCAGCCCTGCTCCCAGGCTCCCTCTTTCAGGCGGTAAGATAGCCTAGAGAACCAAAGCCACAAGGCTTCCATTTGAAGTTAGTGGTGGTGGCACCAGAAAGACAATTCACATGCTCGCTTCCCTGCTTTTCAAAATAAGAGACAGCTTGGGATCTGGGTCTGGAGGCAGTGAGAACAAACCCCCTGCTGACAGGCTGCTTCAAAGCTCTGTCCAACAAGGCCTCTTTCTCTGTCTGGCAGCTCCCCTGGGACACACAACCTGGTTACCTGGTGATCAGGACTCCAAAGGGATGTACCCTGAACTTCCCTCAAGCCCTGAGCCCTGAGGAGGGGTGGAGCGGGCTGAGCTGAACTGGGGGGAAGGGCTGTGTCCTGGCTCAGAGTTTTGGGGGTCAGAGGGAGGAAGGAGAAGTGAAGGGAAATTGGGTGAGGGGGATGGAAAGAAAGCTTTTTGGGAAAACTCACCCTCCATAGCTTGCATCCCCCGCCGTTCCAGGGACCCCCAGCGTTGGCCTTTCTTCCTCTCACAACCCTCTGATACCTCGTAGGAGCCTGAAGTGGTCACTGTGGGTCCTGTGAGAAGGGAGAGAGGAGGGATTGTGGGATGGTAGGGGCGGCTGGGGAGCAGCTGGCGGGGGGAAGGGACACACCTTCTAGCCCTTTGGAGCCCTGGGTTTTTCATCCCGGTGGAAGTACTTGGCTCACTCTGCCAAGAGCTGCAATTCTCCTCCCCAGGCCGCCCCTCACGCTGGGCCTACGGGGACACCGCCCTGCACTGCCCAACCTCTCCTGCACCCCCGTTCCAGGCTCCTCTCCCTTGCACAGGCATAAAGGGTATGTGTCTCTTTAGCCCAGAGGGGACAGGGGGGAGATGGGCAGGGATGGCAGAGGGCGCGACCCAGTACAGAAGAGGCTGAAAGGCTGAGGTGGAAGGGGAAGGGGCTGATGGCGGGCAGGGGTCGTGTGGGAAGGGGCTCTGCACCGGAGCCGCTCCCCTCCCCTACATTCTCTCCCTGGACTTCGTCCACCCCACCCCCGCCCCGCGCTCAGAATAGTTGGGGTTCCGAGCGGGTGCAGGGTTTGGAGCCCCCAGGGCTGGAAGCACCGTTGGTCTGGAGAGACGAGACTGAGAGGGCTCAGGGGAGAGACTGCCAGGGAAGATGCGGCCGGTGTGAGGAAGACCCAGCCCGGAAAGATGGAGACCGGGCCTGGGTGGGAGGCGGGATGGAGGGAGGAAGACTTAGGACGTAAAGGTGGGGAGCAGCGGAGGGGGGAGAGGACGTGGGGGTCTGGAGGGAGGAGAGATGGAGAAGGGGAAGGAGCGGCGATGGAGTGGTGAGGGAGGGGCGCTCTGACCTGGGCCCGGGCAGCTCCAGCCCGCGGCGCCCGCGCCGGCCCCGGCGCCCGCCTCCATGGCCGCTCGCGCCGCCGCCGCTGCCCGGAGCAGACGACGCCGCCGTCGCTGCCGCCGCCGCCGCGAGGCCGGGGACCAGAGCCGGATGCTCAGGGGAAGGGAGGGCGGGCCGGCCGAGGGGGCGGGGCCTGGCTGGGCCACCTGACACCTCCCCCGCCGCCGCCCGGAAGCCGGCCCACCACCGGAGCTCCCAGACTCCGTGCCGGCGGGAGGGTGCCGGGAGGCCGAGCGAGCGTGTCCCCCGACACGCCCCAAGGCCCGCGCCGAGGGAGCGACCAGATGCCCTGGTCTGGCAGTGGGTCCTGCTGGCAGTTGGCTGAGCTGGGAGACCGCTCTGCGCCATGTGTCAGGGTCCCGTCCTGCTCGGTGACGGGGGAGGAAAACCACAAGGATGGACAAATCCTCCCGGCCTGTTTTCTCCAAAAGCACGGATGCTTACCCTCCCCTCGCTTCCTACGGAGCAGGTCGGAGCTGCCGCCCAGCTCGGCAGTAAGCGCGGACCCCCGGCCGCCGGCCCCAGCCTCAGAGCCGCGTGAGGGCAGGAGGAGGGAAACCAAGGCCAGGATACTCGAACCTCGGGGCCCTGATCCCCCTGCTATCCCCGCGCCTCCACCAAGCCAGAAGCAGGGACCCTCTTAAGAGGGGCCGCTCCGTGGCCCTACGCAGTCCTTAGTGTCCGAAGAGCAGAGCGCTTTTCTCCACCGCCTGCCTTCCCACCTGGTCCCATGCCCGCGGGGCTGCGAGCCATGACCCTCACTCAACCTGCCCTGTAGCCTGCTCACAGTGGGCACTGCTGATTTTCACTCTCATGGAAGGGAGATGTGAAAGCTCAGAGGGCTTATTTCACTTACTTCATCATTCATTCAAGGAACGTCTACCGTATGCCAGATCTTGACGAAGCAATTGTTCTCGCATCTATGCAGGTCTCAGCCAGGAAGAAAAAAAAAAAGGGTACACTTGGGAACCGGGGTGCCCCAGCACATCCAGAAAAGCATTGGGAGGTTCCTAAGTCAGGGGCACACACCAATCCCTTCTCTTGTGCATCCACGCACAAGGTCATTGGGCATATATAGTCAGTGTCACCCCCCCCCCCCCAGGCTCCCAGGTTCACAAGACCTCTATATTCCTCAGAAGGGAGCCCTTCTTTGCCTGGACATCCCCTACTTATCCTTCAGCACTCAGTGGGGAGTCATCTCTAAGCAGCTGTTCCTGACGCCCCACTCCAACCCCATTATATGCCCCTGCTGTGCTCTGCCCCGTCCTTCTTCCCTCTAGGGCAGCGCCAGTCACTCTGGGTTGTCAAGGTCAGGTTTTTAGTTTTCTGTCTGCCCAGTTTTTTGAAGACTGGGAAGTTATCTTAGTCATTTTTTGTATCTCCAGCATCTGACAAAGTCCTTTACACGTAGAATAAATGAGTAAAGGTAAATCTCCCAACAGCACAGTCAACGCTCTGCTTGTTTTAACATATGATCTCACACTTAAGGAGTTCAATGTTGCCTATTAACCATAATGTTGCCTCGAAGCCTCTCTCTGTCTCTCTCTGTCTCTCTCTCCTCACCTTTCTTCTTCTCTCTCATACCCCCAGCCTCGTATGTGCCCTGAGAGATGGTGAGCACAGATCAAGATGTTTTGTTTGCTCCCCAGAGGACAGGGCTCCACTCCAGACCCTGTGGTTAAGGTGATCGAGTTGTGGGGAAAGACTGTTGAGCAAGCCCACCCAGACCCTTTCCAGAGGGTCCGCTGCCGATTTCAGGCCTGTCCAGACTTGGGGAGCAGGGCAACTGTCAGGGATGATGGAAAGGGGTTGGCGTTAGGAGGGTGGAGGGCACAGGGCTCCTGGGAATGACAGAGTCTAATGCTGGAAGCAGAGTGGCTGTTTGTTCTGCCCCAGCACAGCTCCTTCTGGTCCTGACTGAACCAGCAGGGTCAGATAGCAGACCTTGACTGCTGACCTCTTGGCTAATGGAGGGAAGGACAGGGGAGGAAGTTGTCAACTGTAACATCCAGGGGTCCAAGCTCTCCTCAGGGAGCTCTCATCCAGAGTATTAGGACTAATCTCTCCCTGGCTCCAGGGGTGCAGGTCACGATTCACCCTTGATTTGAGGAGCATTCAGAAGAGATCTGAACCAGTCTATTCTCAGGACCCAAATATGAGTACAACCCAGACCAGTACTGGGTTGAGGGTGAGAATGAAGATAGGAGGCTGGAGGAAAGGGCTTAGCAGGTATGAGGGGGAAGTGGACTGTGGGCTAGGAGTGGTGGGGATGCCAGCCAGGTGATCAGTTTAGGGGGATAATCTGAATTAATCCTTGTAATCCATGGACCCAGGATTCAGCCTCCCTCCTAATCCCATCCCAGCAGATCATCCTCTCTGAGGACTGATGCAGCCATTTATCCACCTTTACCCTTATTTCTAAATGCCTAGATTCTTTCATTAAAAAGAAAAAAAAGTGAATCTTTTAAAGATGCAAAAAGTACAGCATATTATACACATTCTTCTGCAAACTTTCTTTTTTCCTTAACATGTTTTTCTTTTTACATTTATTCATGCTGTTTCATATAGCTCTAGTTCATGAATTTTAACTGCTGAATTTTGTTCCATTGTTTGGATATACCACAATTGGTTTATCCATTCTTCTGCTAATGAGCATTTGGGATATTTCCAATATTCCATATTGTAAACAATGCTGTGATGGACAGTGCTGTGCATGCCTCCTTGGCATATATGTAAGCACATCTCTAAGGTAGATACCTAGAAGTAGAATTTCTGGGTCATAGAATATGTGCACCTTAAACTTTACTAGGTATTGCCACCAAATTGCTCTATAAAGCAGCTGAACTGATTTTTACTCCACTAACAGTGGCTGTCAATGCTTTTTTATTTTTATTTTTTTTAATTAAAAAAACTTTTTTTAAGATTTTTTTTTATGTGGACCATTTTTAAAGTCTTTATTGAATTTGTTACAATATTGCTTCTGTTTTGGTTTTTTGGCCGCAAGGTATGCGGAATCTTAGCTCCCTGACCAGGGACCGAACCCGCACCCCCTGTATTGGAAGGCGATGTCTTAACCACTGGACCGCCAGGGAAGTCCCTCAATGCTTTTTCAGATTCACAAACATATTTATAAATTTCTTTGCTCACCATTCCTTCTTGCATTTCATTCCTTCCTTCTTATTTCGGTTTCCTTCTTATGAAGTATATCCTTTGGTAGCATTTCAGTGAAAGTCTTTGAGTGGTGAACATTCTCAGTCTTTGTCTTAAAAGGTTTTTTTTTTTTTTAGAGACGGGGTCTCGCTCTGTTGCCCAGGCTGGAGTGCAGTGGCTATTCACAGGCGCGATCCCACTACTGATCAGCACGGGAGTTTTGACCTGCTCCCTTTCCGACCTGGGCCGGTTCACCCTTCCTTAGGCAACCTGGTGGTCCCTCGCTCCCGGGAGGTCACCATATTGATGCCGAACTTAGTGCGGACACCCGATCGGCATAGCGCGCTACAGCCCAGAACTCCTGGGCTCAAGCGATCCTCCTGCCTCAGCCTCCCGAGTAGCTGGGACTACAGGCGCGCGCCACCGCGCCCGGATGTCTTAAAAGGTCTTTATTTCACAACACTTAAATGGAAATTTAGTGGGCATAAAATTTTAGGTTGACAATTCTTTTAGACTTTTGAAGATATTCTATTTTTTTCTGTAATCTTTTGCTGCTAATAAGAAGTCAGCTGCCAATGTAATTGTCTCTCTAGGCAAACAAGTTTTTAAATTTTTTTAATTTTTTGTTGCTTTTAAGATTTTTCTTTTTCTCTTCAGTATTCTCCAGTTTCACCACAATGTGTTTATAAGCTCAGTTCTCAATCTGAGGACTGTGTCTTTCTTTTATTTTGGAAAATTATCAATCATTATCTCTTGGAATATTATTGGGTTGGCCAAAAAGTTCAAACGAACTTTTTGGCCAACCCATACATTTCCCTCATTCTCTCTCTTTCAGGAAACAATATATATATTCAGTGTGATAGTGTAATAGGCATATTCTTTTCCTCATGTCTTTTAACTATTCTTTCATATTTTCTATCTCATTACTTTCCCCTTTCCCCCCATATTTTGAACAATTTCATCAGCTCTATCTTCCACTTCACTAATTCTCTTTCCAGCTGGGTCTAGTCTACTGTTTAATGTCTTGAGTCTTCAATGGTATGTCTTCCATTTCCTAATTTTTTTTCCCTCAATGAGCTTTTTTTTTCATAGTGCAACATTTTCATTATGGTTTACTTTCTTGTCTTTAATCTTTAACACTTTTAAGAATACTTATTACACAGTGCTTGTCATGTTGTTCTATTATGCACTGTTCTTGGAGTGTTAATTGTCCTGTTTGTTGTGTCTGCTGAGTCTTCCTTAGGTGGATTACTTTCTTGTCTAGTTTATAAGATTTTTATTGTGAGTTCTTCTTCAGTAGGTGTTTTTTTTTTAATTAATTAATTTATTTATTTATTTTTGGCTATGTTGGGTCTTCGTTTCTGTGCGAGGGCTTTCTCTAGTTGTGGCAAGCAGGGGCCACTCTTCATCACGGTGCGCAGGCCTCTCACTATCGCGGCTTCTCTTGTTGCAGAGCACAGGCTCCAGACACGCAGGCTCAGTAGTTGTGGCTCCCGGGCTTAGTTGCTCTGCGGCATATGGGATCTTCCCAGACTGGGGCTCGAACCCATATCCCCTGCATTAGCAGGCAGATTCTCAACCACTGCGCCACCAGGGAAGCCCCAGTAGGCGTTTTTGATTTGTCACTTTTTAGTGAGACTCTCATATACCTTGGGGTATGAAAACAGTCTTGGAGAGCTCTTTCTTGCTTCTGTGAGGCTGTGTGGTATTCCTAGGGATTTCAAGTTGTCCTAAACCAGGTTTATATTTAATTTCTCTGCTTAAGGATTCAGCATCATGCAAATAACATAAATCCAGATGCAACACAAGAATTTTCTCAGGCTCAGACTTCAATTTCTCAGGGTTGACTTGGATT